CCCTAACCCTAACCCTAACCCTAACCCTAACCCTAACCCTAACCCTATCCTCCCTGACACATACTGGTAGACCACACAGTCTCTAAACCTTCTTTCACAGTCTGTATCTATACCTAAGAAACAACCCCCAGCCAAGGAACATCCTACATAGGGAGGCTGGTATCCCGCAGCTGAATGATCTGCCTCCCTCAGCTCTCTAGCTTAGCCCTTTATGCACATGTACATACATGTGTAGTCACACTATCACATCTTTTACCCAAGGTCACCTAAAAGAAAAGATAAGACTTCATTGATGAGAAAAGATAAGATCAACCCAGAGCTTCCTAAATCCATAAAACCTGACTTTAGCTGGCTGGCTCTATATACTCAAGTAAGTGTCCCACATGGTAACAACCCAACACCCCAACTCACAGTGGGAAAAGAGAGCAGAAGAGAATAGGACTGTCAGAATGATTCAGCCAGCATGGCCATGGCTTTGCCCCAAGAGTCACTTAACACTCCACCATGTGGCAGAAACTTAGTGAGCATCTTTCACTGTCAGCCTGCCCAGACACACAGGCCTGCTCTTCCCTGTTCTACCTAAACGAAAAAAGGCCATAGGAATCACAAGACAACTCCAATCTGTCGGCAGCCCTTCCCATTGCTAACAGTATACTGAGCCCAACCTGAGCTCTACTCAGAATAATAAATAAGGCAGCATCTTGCTAGCTGCCTTGGTTGGGACAATATTTTAGTTCTCTATCTGACTCAGGACTAACAGGATGGGTATGGTGTGCTTGTCCTCCATAAACTCTACTCAGATTGATGCTGGAAATCTTCCTCCTCACCTTCAAAATACCAGAAGTGGATAACATTCAGAACATTCTAAGCATCCCATTCCAGGGTTGGCCTGGGCTTGTCAGAAAGGTGTCGTGTGAACACCACATCTCCTCTCAACTCTGACCACCACTTTAATGACCCCAGTCTGGAGCTGCCAGGACCTAGCAACAGACATTCCTGGGAGATGCTATCAACCTTCTATCCTCCTTTAAAAGCAAGGCTGTTTGGAGCTGCTGCTGGCAAGGAGCAACCATATTGAGGGAGTCCCTCAATCCTAGCAATGGACTACCTCTCAAAAGGGCAGTAGGTCAGGGAAGTAAATAGAAGCTACTTTACCTTTACCTTACCTTACCTTTTACATTACCTTTTACCTTACCTTACACCTTACCTTTTACATTACCTTACCTGACCTGACCTGACCTGACCTTACCTTCTGCCATCTACTATAAGGGCCCTCACCATGTCCAAAACTGAGTTGACATGCCTAAACTTCTACACTCCAGAGACTGGGAGTACCCACTGCCACCAAGGTAGCTAAGCCTGCCTCTCAGACCTTCTCTGTGCTGATGGATCCAGGATGTTCAAGCCGTGACTCTCTCCCAGGGGACAGGATTCATAGCTAAGGGGAAGCATCTTCCTTTTGATGCCACGCCTCCACATCTTCCTGCCATACAATTGTGCCCTTGATATTCCTCCTCAACACTGAGACAGTCCACGTTTTGGATTTATGAGGCTTAAAAACAAATAAAGCACCTAATGAAATCCACAGGCTTGTTCTTGTCTGCCCTCCTCCACAGAGCAGCGCTGTCAAAGAACCCTTCGCCTTAGAAAACCCTGAGGCTGGAAGGGTGAAGGGGGTAGGCTGAAACCAAGCAGAGCTTCTTCCTTATTCCCTCTAGCTGCAGCATAGGAAGCAGCGCCTTAACCTTTCCCAGTTCCCTGAGGAGAATATCCAAGAAGTGTGGTCTCTGCCAAGAGTTCTAAAGTCTTTAATTTGATTTCCCTCACACAGGCAATTGTTGTAATTATTCTGATTAGGAATCATTACCCATTGCAGCCTCTGCACCCGACAGGCACATCGCATCCAGCAGCAAGGAGCAGTGGGGCAGGAGGCTGACTGCGGCTCCTGGAGGAGCTGACAGCAAACAAAAGCCATCGATGGGGAGTTCTGGGTGAGTTAATGAAGTGCTCACATGCCACAGGAAGCCAACACCAAAGCTAAACAAAACACCTCAAGTCCCAGGGGCCAATCCTGTAAGGCTGCAAAGCAGCTCCTCTGCCCCAGCCCACCCAGCACAGGCCTTGGCTATGGCCAACACAAGGCCACAGGCCAGGTGAGGAGGGGTGAAGGGGCTCTGCCTGACTCCTGGCAGCACTTGGACATCTTGTCAGCAACCCTGACGGGAACAGCTGGAGATGACAGATCAATGGTTCAATACTCTCAACAGCATGTCACTGATGTGACAGCAAATGTTATTCTAATCAAGCCATAATCATAGTCAAATTATACGGCAACATTCTCAGGAGGGGAGGGAAAGAAAGGCATCAGGAAGAGGTCAGAGGTCAGGAATTAAAGGTCATTCAACCTACCTCCAGCACTTGCTGCAGGCTTGGCTGGCCATCCACCATGGCTTGAATGATCCCGGTGAGCTGTAAAGAAAGAAAAAAAAAAACAGCCTTTGGGTAGAAAACCAAGGTACAAGGGAAGTCTATTCTGTCCCCTCAATTCCTCCTCCAATGGGACAACTGGGGCCACAAGGCTTCAAGCTCAGAGGCAGCCCAGGAGCTTGGGAATCCTGTCCTGGGATGCTGTGAGACTGTCCCCAGCAGCAGCCTAGTCTGAAATGGGCCCACACAGATGCTAACAACAAGGCAGGCTCCGTGCATGTTTAAACTTTTATTTGGGGGATTTTTTTTTCTTGTAATTTTATGTGTCTTTTGTATTCAACAGGTTCATTAAGATCCCACAAATCAGTCTTAAGGCACATTAGACTCTAGCATCACAGAAGCTCCCATGGAGCCTGGAGAGTATGTGCTCCAGCTAGGCATACTCAGTTCTGAGTTCTTCCCTGTCTGTGAACCTCTGTCCAACCAGGACTTCCCCATTTATACTTTTAAGGAAATGTAAGGACACAGCCACTTATTTTATATCCCAGAAACTTTTCATACTAGTTGGCTAACACAGGACAAGACTAAGAAATCTGGCCACCTCAGTCCTTCATACTTCCCTGCCAAGCAAGAAGGCCACCTGTGAGCAATGGGGAAGAAAGGCCTAATGTATAGGCTTTGACCTAGAGACTGGCTCATGGGCATAGGTTCTACCCATGTCAGGCCTAGCTTTAAGCAAGCTTGTTGTTTTGTTATTTCAGAAGTAAACGAATCCTTCAAGCACAGAGTAGGTATGGAGTTCCTATCAGTCTTAATCCTGGGTCCCTGTCCTGGATGGATAGTAGCTAGATATCACAATGCCATCATGTTCCAGACACTGGCTGAAAATCACAATGCTATCCTATCTTGGACACTAGTTAGATACCACAGTGCTATCGTGTCCTGGCTATTCTCACTTAGAGTATGTCGGCTGGCTTGGAAACAACTTTTTTTGTTGAAGTGGGGGAAGGGGTTTAAAACTCCAATTAAACTATAATTCCATTTAATGAATACCAAATACCTAACTCACAGAAAGTGCCAGCTCTAAAAGGGAAGGTTATTTTCTCATAGTGACTTACATGGAATGGTAATACACACCTTTTAGGGAAGAAATTTTCAATTTTAAGAATGCTGAGTTCCTCTAGGTGGGTTTCTGTAGTTCATCAAGTCATTATTAGGTGGTATTTTAAGGAAGTGTAAGGACACAGCCACTCTATTTTATATTCCAGAAACTGTTTTTATATTAATCTGTATTTTAATTGGGTAACAGCTGCTGCCTACAGACTTCCCATGGTCTAAAAGGAAAATAAATTAGAAAGATTAACTACACTGTTCTTTTGCAAGGCTTTAACCCACAGCATGCCCACCCGGCTGGCACCTCCACACCCTTTCCTTGCTTGGGAGACCAAAGAACTGCCCAGCAGAGGGAGGGCCTGAGTCAAAAAGAAGAAAAGACTGGTCTCCTGCTACATACAGTATAGACGGAGGGTGAGGCACCCTGCATGGGAGGGAGGTTTTAATTTGAGAACAGAGCATTTCTCTTGTTCATTCTGCTAGTACCTACTATATGCCAGAGAAGCAGGAGCCTGCACAGGCACATTAAAGCCTTGCTTGTAGAAGTGCCTTTTCCCCACAGTGCTCTAGGCCCAGCTCAGCTAGCACCCAGAGCCACACCCAGAGCAGGAAGGCAGGGGCCCTGGACTTTCTGTCAGGCATATAGGGACCAATAGTCAGAAGTAGACTCTCATTCTCAACTACAGGTCCACCTTCCAGAAGTCAGACTGACAGACAGACTACAGCTGTTCATTCCAGTCTCGTTCCTTCCTGCTAAATTCTTCCAGGATAAAGGGATGGTGAGGGTCAGGGCTGTGGTGGAAAAGGCCCACAGCCACTCCCACTTCTTGGAAAGCTCCAGGGCCCAAGCATCAGTCTGCATCTAGTATGAGTCCTAGGATAAGGCCTAGTCCTACTTCTCTGGCTCCAGCCCAGGGTAATTCAGTAAAGCCCAACACTGAAGAGCTTCAGAAAGTCACAAAGGCACAGAGCAAGCAAGAACTTTCCCTCCTTTTACCCAGACTCAAGTCAGCACCCATGTACCACCTAGGCCCTGGGAAAATCAGAAGTAGGTAAGAAACACATTATACCTGTAGTTTAGTAGCACAGCACTTGCTTAGCATACCCAAGGCCCTCAGTTCAAACTTTAGCACAACAAAATATAAATAATTAATTATAAAAAAATCACACCACCTAAAAAGAAAACCAGAGGCCACCCCAAGTAGTAGTAGTAGTACTCATTGTGGGTCAAGCCCACCTCTCCCTACACTAGGGCTGAGACTGGGGCTCCAGCTCAGCAACCAAGCATCAACAGGCTTGGCATAGAAGTCAACTGTGTTCTCTCTCCATGCTTCCTAGATGGCTAGCATTTCCAAAATGGCCAGCCAGTGTAGCTCATCACTGAGTTCCTGGAAGACTGAAGTCAGCCTCAGAGTCAAAGGCTTAAACAGTAGTTCAACTAGACATGGCCTTCTTTGGGAAGCCTTCTAGCCCTTAAGGGACTGAGGGAGTTCTTGGAGGGAGTAGAATTATTACCCAAAGGATAAGCCACCTCTTAACAGCTCTGCCAGTGTACACTGGCTGAAGGGGGCTAAAACTGAGACAGCTAGTCCCTGTACTTGATACACAACCAAGCTATAAATGGTGAGGGAGAGAGACTACTGTACAAAATTAACTGGAAAGTTCTATCTTAGGCCTAACTTAAATTCTTCATGGTGTAGTTTTAAGCCCATCCCACTTAGATTAATATATGTTTGCAAAAGGCTTTAATAGCCTCACAATGAAAGGTACTAGAGTAAAGCCAAGTATTTGTTAAGCTGAGAACCAGGGCTCACAGGCTAAACAGGGCTCAGAGGCCTTAACCACTTAAGGGAGGAGAGGTGGGAGAAAGAATTAATGTGTGTTCTCTGATTCCTTTCACTGAGGAATTACAGATTCACTCCCACTTCTCCAGGATCAGAAACCACAGGAAGGGACTTCTGACCTGACTGATAACACTGTTGGTTCCCAATGCCCCTACCTATATGAGGGCTTTGTCCAGGGATGAGCTGGCTTCACTGGAAACAGTAGCAACTCCAGAGAGTAGCCAGGAAACTCAGTGCCAACAGCATGTCAGCGGCCAGGCGGTATCCTTTCACAGCTTATCTTCAACACAATCGTATTCTGACACCAAGACAGTTTGTTGATTACATAAGCACTTGTCTCTGGTGTGCAATCTGATAATCAGACCCACTCTTTCTCCTCACACAAAGAGGCCAATAAATCTCACCCTTTATAAATACAGGTGCAAGACAAAGCCCTTTACTGGCGTTTAGCAAAATGGGTATTTCTCTGTTTTTTTTTTTTCTTTCACAGCAACAACAACAAAAGACTATACGTGGCCAGGGACCACAGCAGCCTAGCTGCTGAAGCACAAGTACACAGGCTGGGGAGACTCTAGAAGTCAGAGGAAAGGAAGTTCATGGCCCTGTCCCTACTAGAACTTTGCTCAGGATGAGTGTCAATGAACTGAGGTAATGCCTCAGGAGGCTAGACCCTTCTCACAAAGTAGCATGAGCATTTGTATGGGACTACAGACCTGTTCAGGACAAAGCTTCTCTCTGTGGTCCAACATGCTCTCATTCATACACACACACACACACACACACACACACAGGTTAGAGGTTTTGTTTTGGTGTTTTTTTGATTTATGTTTTTTCGAGACAGAGTTATTACATAGCCCCAGGCCTTGGTATTACAGCCCTGAACTCACTGGGTTAATCTAGGATGGCCTCCAACTCCCAGACTCCTGTCTCAGCCTCCTGGATACAGAGATGACAGGCAAGGTCGTCATGCTGAGGTATTTGCTTGTCTAAGGCAGCCTCCTGTAGTCCAGACTGGCACTGAACCCCTCATCCTCCTGTTTCTGACTAAAGACTGTTGAGATTATAGGCACATGCACTGCACCTGACCATACTAGGATTCTTAAGAATCTCATGTGCACTTGAGAAACAGACTCTACTAGAGAAGCCACTTGGGTCCAAGCTAGAGGTGTGAGACCACTGCTCACATATTTATTAATGACAGATCAATAAATCTCTGGGTAGGTTAATCCCACTGCTATCCTAAAACTGGCTACTGCCAAGGCAGGTGAGGCCTCCCCTCTATATCCATACTTCTTTTCAAGACCTAGTTACAGCTGGGATGAAGTCAGGGCAACACTGAGGTAAGGTAGGGTTTTCCAAGAGACTTGATTCACTCAAAACGTCAAGTCAGAGGCCACCAAGATGGCTCATTCAATAAGGGCACTTACCATCAAGCCTGAGAACCTGAGTTCAAACCATGAAAGGTACAGCAAGGAGAACCGACTCCCATAAGCTGTCCTCTGTCCAACATGCATTGCAGCATGGGTGCATTCCCTCCCAAACACAGAGAAATTTTTTTTTGTTTTTGGTTTTTTGGGTTTTTTTGTTTGCTTAAAAAACAAAAGGCCAAGTCCACAGTATAGTAGCTTACCTCCTTGGCAATAGTTCCTGTTTATGGAGCACACATGGAACTAGACCCTCATAAAAATAGAGGCAAAAACTGACCAGGTCTAGTTCAGAACTCCAAGAACTCAGTATAGAGAAGCAAAACAGATAAATAGTCAAAGTACAAGCTATTGTATCAATGTGACTTGGGGTAAGCATGATCCAGGCTATTTACCAAGGAAGGCTGCAAACCTAACCAGGCCTGGAGCACAAGAAAGCTTAAGGGCACACTGCAGTGGGTGGGGACATAGCAGGAGCCAGGGGTTTGGAGAGTACTGAGATCTCAACCCAATGCCTCACAACCAGATCTCCGTCTTCAGAACAGTTGTGCAGCCAGGATCCCAACATTGGACCCCACCCTCACTGCTTTCCAATTATGGATGTTTTGGAGGTAAAACTGTCAAGAAGAAAAGGATGCTTTCTGGGCACCTCCCATCCCCACTCTGGAGGATGTGCCCCATTCCAGAGCACCTACTCTTGGCTAAGGCCAGCCCCAGCAGCACTTCACATTCCTGAACAGGCAGCAACTACTCCAAGATCTGGATCTCTGGTCCATACCAGGCAGTGTGGCCTCACAGTGCCGCACTAGTCTAAACATCCCCAGATCATTTGTTCCCCAAAGCTAAGCTAACCAGGGTGGTCTGGATAGTACCCAGACGGAAAGAGGGCATGGCATGGCTTCCAGGGCGTTGGGGTCTTAGGGAGTGGCTAGTGTAACCATCCACCAATGACTTTCCAAAAGAAGGCAAAAGGTAAATTAGCCACTCACTCTGGTGGGAAAGGGAATTTCCAGGGGAAAGAGGGAAATGATGGAAAGCTTCAACATCATGAGCTAGAAAAGGCTTAGGAGAATGGACATCTGGGCAGATGGGTATCTGCCACAAAAGGCCCACCTGGGTTAGACGGCAAACACTGGCTCTGAATTCAGGAGCAACTCTGGAGACCCCATATCTGGGCTACTCAGCCTCAGGGCCCATTGAAACACCTATTGCAACCTGCAGGCCCTTCCCCAGTCTCTTCCACAACAAACTGTCTAGGCTTCCTCAAGTACTTCTTTCCCCTGTCTCACTTATGTATAGAAAGGAAGTCTTTATATGAAGGCACAAAGGCTCAATATATCTAAGCTCCAAATTAATATTTTCTGTCACCTCTGCTCCCATGCATGCCTGACTGGCAATTCCACCACAAAATGCCTGGCAGGGCACACACTATAGGAAAACAACCACAGACGGAACACCTCTGCACCATTCTGAGAGTTAGCCCTCTCAGGAGCTGCACTCCCTCCACTCTGATGATAGCTCTTCTAAAATCTCCAGTAATTATCAAAATCCCAGCTCTGTAAAATGGCATCAGTGCTAATCTGCAGACAAGGTAGCCAAGTAACAGTACAAGCCTAGTTAAGGACACTCGGCCCTGGCCAGCCTATCTTCTCTGTCCTTGGTGGGAAAGTCATGCTTCTTTACTTTGCAGGACAGAGCAACATTAACATCTCAGGAAGTTAAGAAAACTTGAACATAACAATCCCTTCCAAGTGGCTGAAATCCTAACTGCTGCACAACAGGCCCTATTGAAAATGGAACTGGAAAGAACCTGAGTCGCAGAAGTCCCACGCTATTCCTAGATTGACTCCAAGTGTCCAGTTGCCAGGAATACTGAGAACAAGAAAGAAAGGGAAATGTTGGGGAATCTGGGGAAAACTGTATCACTGCTGTCCCAGGGGACAGGTACTCAAGCAGTCACAGACTAAAGTCAAGTGAAAAGCCATTGCTGGGCTCTTGCTTTAACCACTGATTGGACCTAGCTTTCCCTAAGTGGCATGAATGAATCAATAATCCCAAAGCTCCTCTTCCAGCAGCCCTTACCTCTGTACAGAAGGGGGTAAGCTGTGGGTGGACTACAGGCTGGACATACATGTGAAAAGTAGACTCAATTTCCATGGTCCGGCCATTTAACTTCAGGATGGGGAACTCAATGATTTCCTAGAATGCCAAAGAGACAGAAAAGAAGGTAAGTCATTTTAATCAATCATTTCAAATAACTATTCAAAGCCAAGAAAGAATGAGTGTTTGTGGATCATTCCTTCTGCCAGCTCAAACCCAAGGCTAGAAAAGGTGATGTCAACATTTATAATCCCATTGCTCACACTGCTAAAGCCTTCCCATCCATTGTTTTAGGGAAGGAAGACAGTGGTACACTGTCTGTTTCCCTCACAGAGGCCCATTGGATAATCCTCTAAGACAAAGAAAGGCCTTCCGTCTCTTGCCCAGGCTTCTGTTCTGGAATGCCTGGATCCCAGGTAAGCAAGTAGCCATCACTCAGCACACGGACTTCCTTGTATGAAGCTTAGACACTGCAAATGGTGGGGTGGGATGGTGTGGGGAGTGTCTTCATTAGTTTTTGTAAGGAAAAAAAAGGCAACAAATAAACTCCCAAAATAAAGCCAAAGGGGATATTAGAGAGAAGAACATGGAACACAAGTTAATAGAGGTCAGTGCCTCCCACCTTCCCCTTCAAGCACTGCACACTCCCCTTTGCCTGCCCCTACCCGCCCAACCGCTTAGCAAGCCCTTCCCAGTCCGCTGGAAGGTAATGGAAGAGAAAGAGGAGGAGTGACAATTTGTTTGGTGTCTCTAAGATTAATTTGTCTCCGTTATTTAATAGAGATGCACAGCACCAAGGTCCTGGTGTGCAAACAGGCTTGCAGAACGCTGGCTGTGCAGCATGCCTCATACATCGTTCCTGGAAAGGGAGGGATGCACCAGAGGGGGGAGAGGGCAGGAGAAAGCACAAGCACCAGAGAGAAGAGGGAAACCAAGGGGAGAGAATAAAAAAATATATTGCTTTTTAATATTCAAAAACAGTTTGCAAAATTTAATCAAAGCAGAGGAAAAGCTAACATTTTTACCACTTTGACATTTTTATTAGCGCTTTCATAAATTTTTAAAACATGAATGGAATTAGTTTACAACACCCACACACACAAAAAACTGCCCTGAAAACATCTGGAAGAGACAAATAGGAAATAATAAAAAAATAAATAAAAGCAAAATCTTCCAAGTAAAATTAGCATGTGAAAAAAGCCTGCACTGCAGAGACAAAAGGGAGTTCTGCCCACATGAGGCCCCAACAATCAGCTCCAGGGGCGTGCCTACCCCAGAACCCTCATTCTAGAGAAGATCTTCCTAGAATCATCAATGCCAAGGCAGAGACAGCCTGGAAGAGCAATACAGAAACCACCACTGCTGGCTACTCCTGACCATACTCAGGGAATCAGTGGGCAGGAAAACAGAGAGTTGTCAATTGCCTTTATGTCCCAAGGAAGACAACCACCATCCTTGCAGAATATATCCACTAATATTTTGGACTTATTTCTTTAAGTATTTATTTCAATCCAAAGCATAACAGCAAGGCTGAAAAACAAATCAATGCAGTTAAGACTTCATATTAAGAGAAATTTAAAGGCTCTGGCTGCTTGGTATCCCTTGGCCAGTGGTTTTCAAGCTTTCTAATGTTGTGACCCTTTAATACAGTTCCTCATGGTATGGTGACCCCCCAACCATAAAATTATTTTTGTTGCTACTTAGTAACTGTAATTTTGCTACTGTATGGATCATAATGTAGATCTCTGATAAGCAAGATACTGATATGTGACCCTTGTGAAAAGATCATTCGAGCAGACTCATTAGCTGATGGGAGTTTACCTGGTCCCCTTGGGCTGATCCCCAGAGATGAAGAAGCTGAAGAGAACTTATTACCAGATACAGGAAGGGCAAAATGGCTGAAGGTAAGAGCAAGAAGATCCAGACTACTCCTCAGGCCAGCTGATAAGACACCTCTTCTCCCAGTGGAGTGAAAGACTCATTCTCCAACTGGTAAGCCTCTGTTTCCATAAAGTACTATAAAGCAGGCCAAGCAGAGGAGAGTTTTGCTATGGAAGACTAAGTAGAGCATCTGCACATATACCATACACACTGTTCCTACAAATTCACATAGCCACAATTCCCAAGAGCTGTGGTTCATGAGTCAGACCCCCCCCACCCCCAATAATCCCTGAATCTGCAGTAAATCCTTCCTCTCCTACTAAATAGAAGAAATATCCCCCCAAACCCCACCCTGATAGAAAGAGCTCCACAGCCTGGTGAGTTTGGCTGCCCTGGTGTCCAAGGAAACAAATACAGCAGCTCCTCACTAACAATGTTAGCTAGGCCCGAAATGAGATTTAACCTGTGACACAACTGTACTTTTCATTTAAACTTTCATTGGAAACAGTGTTTGGAGACCTGCAGTTTGTCCTGCTAATAAAGACAAGTGTTGGGACCTTTAAGGATGCCATTCATCTTTGGCTTTTATTAAATTCAATTTTCTTAAGCCTGTGATACATTATGAAATTAGGAGTTGACATTCCTCTGGAAACAAAAATATCTATCAAACATAAATAGGGGGGAAAATCTCTATTACTAAGAATGTATGGCTTAAAGTTGATCTCTTTCTACTTTTTTACAAGCATGCAGTTTGTTTTAGATATGAGAAATGCTGTTACAAATCTGGAATTTCATTAGTATTATAAAACAGAACATGCTTCAGCTCTTGCTCTGACCAGAACCATATCAGCTTTCTCAGCAGCCTTGGGTCTCCCACTGAAGCTCAGCATTCAAACTCTCCTGCTAACGGTTCCTTCACTCATAGGGACACAGAGCTAGTGACCAAATTCAGTGACACCTTACTGAGACCTGTCTCAGCTCCTATGGGGGAAAAGAAGGAGAAGGAGGAGGAAGAGGAGGAAGGAAAGGAGGAGGAGGAAAGGAAGAAAAGCAGACTCCAAGATGCCTAAACCCAAGGCTCAGGACACATGAGACTGCCCTGTCAGCCGGGCCTAGTCCTCAAAAATCAAGAGGGACTCACAAGAGTCACATACACGACATGGCCACTACCCTAGAGTCTTTCCTCAGAAGCATCAGGAACTGTAATAACATGACTGCACAGGACTTATTCCTTTAAACCACTGAGATGCAAAAGAGGAGCTTGTGACAGAAGACTCTTTAAAGATTCTTTTTAAAAAACAAAAAACAAAAACGAAAAAATTGTTTTAAATGGAGCCAGGGGAGATGACTCAGCTGTCAAGAGCATGTACTGCTCTTGCAGAAACCCTGAGTTCAGTTCGCAGTACTCACATCAGGTGGCTCACAGTCACTGTAACTAAGTTCATGGGATCTGAAGCCTCTGGCCTGTAAGTGCACTTGTACTTATATGTACACACTCACATACAGTCACACATTAATTACAAATAAAAATTTAAAAAGAAGACCCTCTGAGGGGTCAGAGCAGAAAGACCTTATAGATCACTTCTTTCCTTCCCATACTGTCCAGCAGGCCCTACATACTGTCCCCACAGCACAGTCATGGAGAAGAGCCCTACGCTGCACCAAGCTAGCATACCTATGCATCAGGTGTGCCTGAGCCATGCCAAACATTTCCTAGACTGTTTCTACTGATAATGGTCAAAGACAACACTCCCCACCGCACCTCACAATGCTACAGGGAGATGGTATCAATTCCATCAATCCCAAAGATCTGTGAAGATGTGCCCAAGTGCTAGCTTTTAGTTCTAGTCGCTCTCAGATAACGGAAGCACTATCCCTGCCCCTCTTCCTGTTCCCTTGCCCAATTTTATTATTCCCCCAGAAAGAAGAGAGTTGTTTGTTTGATTTTCCTCTCAGGGACAGTTTAGTGCTTCAGATCCAGAGGAAGGAAGACCCACTCTGTATTTACAAGGCCTCTTTCCAGCTTCCAACAATAGCTCCATAATTCCTTTATCTGTCTATGCCACTCACATTCAATTACACTACTAGGGGGCTACTATGTTAGACAGAGTGGAGCTTAAGAGATGAGTAACGTGTGCCTTGGAGAAGTGCTTGAATTAGTAAGTAGAAATGACAACTGAGAAAACAATGGACAGTGGAGGGACATACCAAGTGTTAGGCTTTTGTTCATTCCAATCATTTTCTTACTTTAGGCTCACTAACCCTGGGAGGTGGGTCATGTCATCGGCACCAGCATCAGGTCATACACCAATACTGTTAAGCACCTACTATCTAGCAGACAGCTCAAGCACAGGCACAGGAGTGAGGCCTGACACTTCTCTGAGCATGCTCAAGAGTCTTGGGAAGGAACAAAAGGAGACAGTCTCCAACACTCTCTGCTGTGTGGAGAATGGAATCATCCTGCTCCCTCTGCTTCTTATTTCCTCTATGGTAGACACTCTGCTAAATGCTAACAGAAATTATCTTAATCCTCTAAATAACTTATTAGATGGAAATCATTACTGTTGATATTTCACAATAAATTAAGGCTCAAAGATGTTATGGTTCCTTATCAACTATGCTGCTAGTAAAGGACGGAGCTGGGACTCCAAAGAGGGACAAGTAGGTGGCTGTTCTGTAGGGAACGCAGCACACTCCTCAACACCCAAATGGGAGCGTGTGTGGATGGTCTAGGCAGAAGTTCTAGAGAAATGTTCCTAAAGAGTCTCCTCCATGCTGTAGCCAGATAGGTGCCACCAGGCTGAGTTCAGGAAGGGAGAAACCTGAGCCTTCAGTCTGCATCTCTGGCACCTCCCTCTTGGTTTCCCCTTTCTCAAGTTTTGTTGTGTGCAAACAGAAAGGAACTGACAAATAGGAGACAGAGCTAGTATCTGTCAACCAGAAAACTGCTTTCTGGGATTGTCCACAGGATCTGGGAGGTGATCTGCCTAAAATGACAAGGTAAATAGTAGCACCAGGTTCAAGGCCAGATTTAGAGCACCCCAAAGCAATGTCTACTGGATTCAATCCATTCTTGTACCTCTGGATGGTTTTCTTCCTCAACTGCTGCCATTCACTTAATCCCAGATTGAGTCAAACTGTCTAGTTTGCCTGGGACCAGAGGTCTCTAGAACATACCATTGTCAATGCCAAAACTAGAACAGGTACAGGTTATCCTA